TCCCCGCCACACACACACATACACACATTTTGAAATAAAAATCAGCTTCTAAAAGAATTTTTTTTTAAAAAGAAAGAAAGAATTGAACCTGGAACAAACTCACTAACAACAATTTAAAAAAAAAGAAAATGGAAAAAAAAAAATAAAGCTCTGACATTTTCAAAGAAGACCAGTGTAAAGTTCCTTTTTTCTTGATATCTTTTGTCCTGAGTCTCAACAGCCTTTCTTAAAGACAACGACAAATCAAAAACTACAATTTCTGTTCCATACACGTGTACTCTTGTTTCAAATTCTGTGTTGGTTACTAGCAACAATTGTAATGACTGTCATTCACAAAGACAAGTAGAAGAAATTAACAATAAGCCTACAAATGGACACCAATACCAAATATTGATAGATGTAAGAGAAACGATACGATTGCAAATCACGTTAGCAACTCAAAAAGTCTCCTAAAAGAATTGTGTAAGATGGGCAAAAGTAAACGGAGAACTTGTCTAAAAATAAGCCAACAGAAAAGCCCTTGGTTGTCCAGATCCGCAAAGTATCGATCCCGTGTTATTTAACGAAGTTGTTTGAGCGAGCCCTGAAGGGGTTAGCTAATCCCACCCACGGGGCGGGGCTAGAAGAGAGGGGCTGAATGGGGAACTGTTTGAAGTCTGTCTTCGGGAGTCATACTTGACACATGTGTTTGATCAGTGCCGCGCTCTGATTGGACGAGACGTAGGCACGTGACTTCCACCGCGGTCGAGACAAAACAAGGACGGGAGATAAAGTCGACGGGGTGTCTGCTCCTGCGTTTATTCTGTGAGAATTACACAGCCAGTTTGTGGTGTCCTTATCGTTTGTTAAGTTTTGAGGTTATCGGTTGTACGTCCTTTGAGATCTTCTTGTGACGGTGCCGTTCTACAGGTATGTAACCTTACTTTTATCCATAACTGTGAATGCTGTTTTGCTTTTCTGAAAACAAGGCTTTTCTGGGGTTTTTTGATAACTCGCCTCAGCTGAAGGTGACTAATACAAATTATAAATTATTCACGTCCCTAACTGCTAGAGTAATCAAATAACTTCCTCGTCAGTGTAATGTTATAACATGGTAAAAGCAAGCGAGAACAATCGGTTTGATAGTTAAGTTACATTGGAAATGGTAAAATGTCAGAAATCACTCATAGCGTAAAAAAACTGGTGAGACGAGAAAAATGTTCCCTTTTTGGAAGCGGTTTTGAGAAAACAGGATAAGAAAATAATTATTCTTAAGGGGGAAATAACAGTTAATGAAAATGCCTGTTTGTGGTGGCAGCTACATAGCAGATAGGCAATTGAAAACCAGTTAAGATAGAAATACTAACCGAGTTGAATAACATAGGTATTTAAAACATATTTTTATGTGTGTATATATGTGTGTGTGTGGGGGGGGG